TCGGAACGGAAACGCAACAAGTGGTTTACCATCATCATATGCATCATCTTGACTCTAACAGGTCAATGCATGGCCAAACTCCTCGAGAATTATTACTTCTTCCACAGAAACAAGAGCCGCGATTACGGAACATGGACTCAATCTCTCCTCCAAGTCGTTGGATTCCCTCTCTTAATCTTCCCTTTCATCATTCTCCTCCTCTTTTCCAAGAAAAAGAACCTACTTATCATTACCACCAATAGAATCCCTCGCATACATCAAGCCTCCCTAAAATACTTTATTATCATGGGCAACATGATTTCTCAAGCAAATTTCTCAAACAGTAAACATCGTATACCCTTCAGGGTCTTCACTCTCAGCTACACGACACAACTCATATTCACACCGGTTTTCTCAATCGTCGTCAACAAAATGAAATTCAACAGATGGATGATTGTCTCTCTCATCTTCGCCATCCTCACTGGAGCTTTCACTCTCTACACTTTCTCTGCGGGGTCACCAATCTACAATCCGAAGAAACACAACAACACAATAATGTGGATCCCTTTATGCGCGGCCATCTTTTTCTCCTTACTCGTCTGCTACATCAGAAGCATATTCGAAGATCTTATCTCCGTTTGCAACGAACCCACCAGCACGAAACAACCAAGTTTCGTCGTCGTATTTGAGTTGCTCATCGTCATGTCTTTCTTCGCAACCATCTTCTTACTCGTACTTGTTTTCATCTTCGGCGAGAATCAAGATCTGAAGAGAGATATGGATGGGTTCTTGAAGGGAGAGATGGCTTACGTGAGGACTATGGTGGGTCAAGCCGTCGCGTGGCAGGTCTACTGGGTCGGGATAGTTGGGCTCGTGTTCGTTGTATCTCCTGTGTTCTCTATCGTGATCAGTGTCTGTACATGGCCGGTCGTGTCGCTTCTGGTGGCTTTTGTCTATAACAAGTACGAAGAGTACCATCTCTTGAGTGGAATTGCCTTAGCCACAGCTTCTCTTAGCATCGCTTCTTATTTATATTTGATTCACAGAGAGAATAAGAGTGTAGGGGACGAGTATACAAGCTAACTTCAAATCTTGGAATATGGGGATAATAAAAAGTTTGTTTCTTCGAGTCTAAGCTCGGTTTATTTTGGGATAGTTTTACCTCCATTTGGCCAGTGGTGTTGAATCCATTAGAAAACCCGGGTAAATAGGCTATTAGGGCATGTACATTGGTTGTGTTCTCAAATGGTGTTCTCATAACTTTTTAGTATTAAATTAATGATAAAGTTACTTAAGAACACTTTAATTAATTTTCAATCTTTGTATCCTCCATTGGTGTTCTCACCATGACCTGAACTACTCGCACTCCCTTTCCCTACAGCTAATCCTGAATCATACAGAAANTCCACTCTCTCTTGCCTCCTGCAACAAAAATACAAGCGAATTATACGACTTTAGATCNACACACAACTTCAAATCACCGATTCCATCGCAATCATTGATCGTATCTACACCAAATCATAAGAAACAAACTCTTATCCCTAACTCTAATTCTGAATTCAGATACAATCCAAGTCAAAATAAAATTNTACAACTTTAGAACGACCCACAACTTCAAATCACCGATTCCATCGAAATCAATCAACGAATCAACTACCAACATATGCATCCTACACTGAATTTTTTTACCCAATTCATAAGATGCAAAATCTAATCCCTAACCCTAATTCCGAAATCAGATACAACCCAAATCAATTGACATCGAGCGTAGAGGATGAAGAAAGTNCTTACGGAACGAGACCGGCTTGTTCCTGAAGAGCNCNAAACTCAGAACGTTCTCTTTCCTGCACGATCTGGAGACGAAGCTCCTCAAGNTTTTTCTGCTCAGCCTCTTGTTTCTGCTCAGCTTTCCATACGTTCTCGATGTTTCTACAACAGAGAGAGATGGAGACAGAGAAAAGGCCGGATCGC